CAGCAGGGAGAGACACTCACTCAACACGGCTTCACGTGCAGCAGGGAGAGACACTCACTCAACACGGCTTCACGTGCAGCAGGGAGAGACACTCACTCAACATGGCTTCACTTGCAGCAGGGAGAGACACTCACTCAACACGACTTCACGTGCAGCAGGGAGAGACACTCACTCAACACGGCTTCACGTGCAGCAGGGAGAGACACTCACTCAACACGGCTTCACGTGCAGCAGGGAGAGACACTCACTCAACACGGCTTCACGTGCAGCAGGGAGAGACACTCACTCAACACGGCTTCACGTGCAGCAGGGAGAGACCACTCACTCAACACGGCTTCACTTGCAGCAGGGAGAGACCACTCACTCAACACGGCTTCACGTGCAGCAGGGAGAGACACTCACTCAACACGACTTCACGTGCAGCAGGGAGAGACACTCACTCAACACGGCTTCACATGCAGCAGGGAGAGACACTCACTCAACACGGCTTCACGTGCAGCAGGGAGAGACACTAACTCAACACGGCTTCATGTGCAGCAGGGAGAGACACTCACTCAACACGGCTTCACGTGCAGCAGGGAGAGACCACTCACTCAACACGGCTTCACATGCAGCAGGGAGAGACACTCACTCAACACGGCTTCACATACAGCAGGGAGAGACCACTCACTCAACACGGCTTCACGTGCAGCAGGGAGAGACACTCACTCAACACGGCTTCACGTGCAGCAGGGAGAGACCACTCACTCAACACGGCTTCACTTGCAGCAGAGAGACACTCACTCAACACGGCTTCACGTGCAGCAGGGAGAGACCACTCACTCAACACGGCTTCACGTGCAGCAGGGAGAGACACTCACTCAACACGGCTTCACGTGCAGCAGGGAGAGACACTCACTCAACACGGCTTCACGTGCAGCAGGGAGAGACCACTCACTCAACATGGCTTCACGTGCAGCAGGGAGAGACACTCACTCAACACGGCTTCACTTGCAGCAGGGAGAGACACTCACTCAACACGGCTTCACGTGCAGCAGGGAGAGACACTCACTCAACACGGCTTCACTTGCAGCAGGGAGAGACACCCACTCAACACGGCTTCATGTGCAGCAGGGAGAGACACTCACTCAACACGGCTTCACGTGCAGCAGGGAGAGACACTCACTCAACACGGCTTCACGTGCAGCAGGGAGAGACACTCACTCAACACGGCTTCACTTGCAGCAGGGAGAGACACTCACTCAACACAACTTCACGTGCAGCAGGGAGAGACACTCACTCAACACGGCTTCACGTGCAGCAGGGAGAGACACTCACTCAACACGGCTTCACGTGCAGCAGGGAGAGACACTCACTCAACACGGCTTCACGTGCAGCAGGGAGAGACCACTCACTCAACACGGCTTCACTTGCAGCAGGGAGAGACCACTCACTCAACACGGCTTCACGTGCAGCAGGGAGAGACACTCACTCAACACGACTTCACGTGCAGCAGGGAGAGACACTCACTCAACACGGCTTCACATGCAGCAGGGAGAGACACTCACTCAACACGGCTTCACATGCAGCAGGGAGAGACACTAACTCAACACGGCTTTACGTGCAGCAGGGAGAGACACTCACTCAACACGGCTTCACGTGCAGCAGGGAGAGACCACTCACTCAACACGGCTTCACATGCAGCAGGGAGAGACACTCACTCAACACGGCTTCACATACAGCAGGGAGAGACACTCACTCAACACGGCTTCACATGCAGCAGGGAGAGACACTAAATCAACACGGCTTCACGTGCAGCAGGGAGAGACACTCACTCAACGCGGCTTCACATGCAGCAGGGAGAGACACTCACTCAACATGGCTTCACGTGCAGCAGGGAGAGACCACTCACTCAACACGGCTTCATGTGCAGCAGGGAGAGACACTCACTCAACACGGCTTCACGTGCAGCAGGGAGAGACACTCACTCAACACGGCTTCACTTGCAGCAGGGAGAGACACTCACTCAACACGGCTTCACGTGCAGCAGGGAGAGACTACTCACTCAACACGGCTTCACTTGCAGCAGGGAGAGACACCCACTCAACACGGCTTCATGTGCAGCAGGGAGAGACCACTCAATCAACACGGCTTCACTTGCAGCAGGGAGAGACCACTCACTCAACACGGCTTCACTTGCAGCAGGGAGAGACACTCACTCAACACGGCTTCACTTGCAGCAGGGAGAGACACCCACTCAACACGGCTTCACGTGCAGCAGGGAGCGACCACTCAATCAACACGACTTCACTTGCAGCAGGGAGAGACACTCACTCAACACGGCTTCACTTGCAGCAGGGAGAGACACTCACTCAACACGGCTTCACGTGCAGCAGGGAGAGACACTCACTCAACACGGCTTCACTTGCAGCAGGGAGAGACACCCACTCAACACGGCTTCATGTGCAGCAGGGAGAGACACTCACTCAACACGGCTTCACGTGCAGCAGGGAGAGACACTCACTCAACACGGCTTTACGTGCAGCAGGGAGAGACACTCACTCAACACGGCTTCACTTGCAGCAGGGAGAGACACTCACTCAACACGACTTCACGTGCAGCAGGGAGAGACACTCACTCAACACGGCTTCACGTGCAGCAGGGAGAGACACTCACTCAACACGGCTTCACGTGCAGCAGGGAGAGACACTCACTCAACACGGCTTCACGTGCAGCAGGGAGAGACACTCACTCAACACGGCTTCACGTGCAGCAGGGAGAGACCACTCACTCAACACGGCTTCACTTGCAGCAGGGAGAGACCACTCACTCAACACGGCTTCACGTGCAGCAGGGAGAGACACTCACTCAACACGACTTCACGTGCAGCAGGGAGAGACACTCACTCAACACGGCTTCACATGCAGCAGGGAGAGACACTCACTCAACACGGCTTCACGTGCAGCAGGGAGAGACACTAACTCAACACGGCTTCACGTGCAGCAGGGAGAGACACTCACTCAACACGGCTTCACGTGCAGCAGGGAGAGACCACTCACTCAACATGGCTTCACATGCAGCAGGGAGAGACACTCACTCAACACGGCTTCACATACAGCAGGGAGAGACACTCACTCAACACGGCTTCACATGCAGCAGGGAGAGACACTAACTCAACACGGCTTCACATGCAGCAGGGAGAGACACTCACTCAACACGGCTTCACATGCAGCAGGGAGAGACACTCACTCAACACGGCTTCACGTGCAGCAGGGAGAGACCACTCACTCAACACGGCTTCACGTGCAGCAGGGAGAGACACTCACTCAACACGGCTTCACGTGCAGCAGGGAGAGACACTCACTCAACACGGCTTCACTTGCAGCAGGGAGAGACACTCACTCAACACGGCTTCACGTGCAGCAGGGAGAGACCACTCACTCAACACGGCTTCACTTGCAGCAGGGAGAGACACCCACTCAACACGGCTTCACGTGCAGCAGGGAGAGACCACTCAATCAACACGGCTTCACTTGCAGCAGGGAGAGACCACTCACTCAACACGGCTTCACTTGCAGCAGGGAGAGACCACTCACTCAACACGGCTTCACTTGCAGCAGGGAGAGACACCCACTCAACACGGCTTCACGTGCAGCAGGGAGAGACCACTCAATCAACACGGCTTCACTTGCAGCAGGGAGAGACACTCACTCAACACGGCTTCACTTGCAGCAGGGAGAGACACTCACTCAACACGGCTTCACGTGCAGCAGGGAGAGACACTCACTCAACACGGCTTCACTTGCAGCAGGGAGAGACACCCACTCAAACACGGCTTCATGTGCAGCAGGGAGAGACACTCACTCAACACGGCTTCACTTGCAGCAGGGAGAGACCACTCACTCAACACGGCTTCACGTGCAGCAGGGAGAGATCACTCACTCAACACGGCTTCACGTGCAGCAGGGAGAGACCACTCACTCAACACGGCTTCACGTGCAGCAGGGAGAGACACTCACTCAACACGGCTTCACGTGCAGCAGGGAGAGACACTCACTCAACACTGCTTCACGTGCAGCAGGGAGAGATCACTCACTCAACACGGCTTCACGTGCAGCAGGGAGAGACACTCACTCAACACGGCTTCACGTGCAGCAGGGAGAGACACTCACTCAACACGGCTTCACGTGCAGCAGGGAGAGACACTCACTCAACACTGCTTCACGTGCAGCAGGGAGAGACCACTCACTCAACACGGCTTCACGTGCAGCAGGGAGAGACACTCACTCAACACGGCTTCACGTGCAGCAGGGAGAGACACTCACTCAACACGGCTTCACGACCTCCTGTTCACCGGGCGAGGTAGTTAACATCTCCCAGCCACCGTGGTGCCAACCAGCCCACCCACCCACTCACCACCCACCCACCACAGCACCCAACCACCCCCACTCACCACCACCCACCCACTCACCACCCACCTCACTCACCACCCACCTCACTCACCACCCACCCACTCACCACCCACTCACCACCCACCACCCACTCACCATCCACCACCCACCCACTCGCCAGCCACCCACCACAGCACCCACCCACCCACTCACCACCCACCCCCACTCACCACCCACCACAGCGCCCGCGCTGCTCCATGTCCAGCTCCGATCGGCGATTTGCAGAGAGGGAGAGATCGCGTGGGGTCGTCACTCTCAGAGTCGCCTTTATTAGAACTCCTGTCAAGCTTGACAAACTCTGTCGTCAGCACGTACGGGCGAGTGAGCGAGTAAACCACCCTCCCCCATCCTCCCATTTACACAACGATTCACTCACTCGCTCACACACACACTCACTCACGCTCTTACTCACTCACACACTCACTCACCCACCCACCCACTCGCCAGCCACCCACCCACCTCCACCCACCCCCACTCACCACCACCCCACTCACCACCCACCACAGCGCCCGCGCTGCTCCATGTCCAGCTCCGATCGGCAATTTGCAGAGAGGGAGAGATCGCGTTGGGTCGTCACTGTCAGTCGCCTTTATTAGAACTCCTGTCAAGTTTGACAAACTCTGTCGTCAGCACGTACGGGCGAGTGAGCGAGTAAACCACCCTCCCCCATCCTCCTCCCATTTACACGATTCACTCACTCGCTCACACACACACTCACTCACACACACTCACTCACGCTCTTACTCACTCACACACCCACTCACTCACGCTCTCACTCACACACACTCTCACACACTCACTCACACACCCTCTCACTCACTCACATGCTCACTCACCGCTCACTCACACACGCTCACTCCTAGAATTTAATTCTCTCGCTCACTCGCCCACAATTCAATCCACTCACTCGCTCGCCCACCGCCTCGTTTGTTCACTCACCCAAATACGCTCCCCCACCCTACACACCCTACACACCCACTCACCCTACACACCCACTCACCCCAACACCAGCACCACACACTTATCCCCAGGTGTGGTAATATTTGCTTAACGCGTGAACATTCATTTAAAACCAAATTTATAATAACAGCAACTAATCGTAATTACGGCAACATACATTTACCCTCTTGTTTTGTATCATCCCAAAGTAATCGGCAATGGAACGAGACGTCGAGTGAGCAGCAGATGCGGCGATATCGGATTGAGGTGGTGAGTGGGTGGGTGGGTGGAGGGGTGGGTGGGTGGGTGGAGGGGTGGGTGGGTGGGTGGAGGAGACCGGGTGGGTGGGTGGACTGAGGAGACCGGGTGGGTGGGTGGTGGGTGGAGGGGTGGGTGGAGGGGTGGGTGGGTGGGTGGAGGAGACTGGGTGGGTGGAGGGGTGGAGGAGACCAGGTGGGTGGGTGGGTGGAGGAGACCGGGTGGGTGGTGCCGATCTGACAGCACCGCTGAGAATTTCGGCTTCCAATCCGGGTTTCAGCTACCCAAACCACAGTGATTACACCGGATTTTTATCGACTCACGGACTCGCAGAGACCCACAGACTCGCACGGAGACCCACAGACTCGCACGGAGACCCACAGACTCGCACGGAGACCCACAGACTCGCACAGAGACCCACAGACTCGCACGGAGACCCACAGACTCGCACAGAGTGAGTTGTCATTAAACCGGGTTCTCAAGTGTAGCGAGTGGTTGGTATTAGACCAGCGACTGCACACAAAAAAAACTAACACATTAAATTTGGTTCTGCATTTAACTTGGCTAAATTCCAGCTCTGGTAATGAGCAACATTGGATTGACCGTCACGTGATGAACGCGACACTGGACGTAGCGGGGCAACTTGGAGAGTTGCTGCCCCCTACTGTGCGTGGACGAGAGGTCACCTGAGGCCACCTGAGGTCACCTGAGGTCACGTGAGGCAGAGGTAACTCCGTCATGTCCGCTTCCGTGGACCGTTCTCCACAACGAAGCGTTGCACTGCCCTCATCCTGGAGCCCGGCCAGACCCAAGACTCTGATCCTGGAACCCGGCCTGACCCAAGACCCTCATCCTGGAACCCGGCCTGACCCAAGACTCTGATCCTGGAACCCGGCCTGAGCCAAGACTCTGATCTTGGAACCCGGCCTGACCCAAGACCCTCATCCTGGAGCCCGGCCTGAGCCAAGACTCTGATCTTGGAACCCGGCCTGAGCCAAGTCTCTGATCTTGGAACCCGGCCTGACCCAAGACCCTCATCCTGGAGCCCGGCCTGAGCCAAGACTCTGATCTTGGAACCCGGCCTGAGCCAAGACTCTGATCTTGGAACCCGGCCTGACCCAAGACCCTCATCCTGGAGCCCGGCCTGAGCCAAGACTCTGATCTTGGAACCCGGCCTGAGCCAAGACTCTGATCTTGGAACCCGGCCTGAGCCAAGTCTCTGATCCTGGAGCCCGGCCTGAGCCAAGTCTCTGATCCTGGAACCCGGCCAGACCCAAGACTCTGATCCTGGAACCCGGCCTGACCCAAGACTCTGATCTTGGAACCCGGCCTGAGCCAAGTCTCTGATCCTGGAACCCGGCCAGACCCAAGACTCTGATCCTGGAACCCGGCCTGAGCCAAGTCTCTGATCCTGGAAGAGTCAGGCTATATACTTGAGTTGGAGGGGAGGGATTCACGGAGTTCTGAGATGAATATGAAGGAGAGCCAAAGAAGTCAAAGTCAGAAAGATTACCGCCAAGCTTGAAGCCTTCGTTGGGCTCGGCAAGCCTCAGCTTACCCCATATGCTGGGCACCCCACAATCAAATCAACCCATTGGGGCCTAAGTCTCGCCCCCCCCCTTACCCCACACACAATTCAGTGCCGAGGTGTAAGTTTGTTAAATACAAACGTCAAACAAACAAAAACATTGCGGGAGTTTAAATTCGGCTTGGACCCGGTCCGGTGCTTTCCTGCTCGGCCATACCAAGCCCGGGCCTTGTCCAGGCGAGAGCCGCAGGCTGCTGAGGCCCTGGCGGTGTGGAGCAGGAAAGGCCTGCCTACGCAAGCGACGCTTCACAACCGGATTTCCACACGTCAACATCCGCGGAGGCCGATATCGCTGGGGCCCTTCCAAGTTCAGGCGCAAAGCGTCCCGGACAAATCTGCCGCAGGCCGACACGGTCGTCCGACATTACAGCTGGAGACTTCGCAGGTATCCAAAGCACCTCGCGGACATCTGCCGTGGGGCCGAGAGGCGACCACCGCCGCCGCCACCACCGCCGCCGCAACCATCACCACCACCGCAACCACCACCGCCGCCACTATCGCCACCACAACCACCACCACCGCCGCCACTATCGCCACCACAAATGCGAACGCGACTGCCGCCACCAACGGCTCGGCACCTCCCGACACGGCCACGCTACCCCCAACACCCCCCGCCCCAACCTCCCCTCCTACTGGCAGCTGTCCCTGTGTTGGCCTCCAGGTGAATCGGTACCTGGCGGTAAGGAGGGGGCGGAGGAGTGAGGGGGGGGGGGAGGACGTTGCCGTGGTAATTTTCAACCAATTAACTTTTTTTTTTCTAAATCGAAAACAAAATCTGGACGGGGGGGGGGAAATTCCACCCACCCCCCTCGCTGCTAGTGGCAGCCGTCCCTACGAGCCCCGCGGTCTTAGCTGGGGGTGGTGTTGGTAGGGGAGGGTGGTGGGGGAGGGTGGTGGGGGAGGGGAGGGTGCTAGCAGCAGGACCGCGAGGAGTTGCCGTCGCCACGGCGACCCAGCGACACCGTGTCCGTCGCCGTGAAGGAGCCGCCGCCGCCGGCCTGCCGCAGGTCGGAGGTGATGGCGCGCCGGGCGGCCTCCTCGAAGGCCAGGGCTACGTTGGTGGAGTCGCGGGCGCTCGTCTCGAAGTAGGGCACGTCGCCACGCGCACGGCACCACGCCGACACCTCCTCCGCCGACACCTGGACCACCGCGCGCACAGGCACACGCACCCCGGGGAGTCTGTGTCGGGCTGCAGGGGCAAGTGCTGTTCGTGAGCAGAGACACACAACAACAAAAAGGGCCGCAATTCGCCACTCAGTGGCGGCAATGTCACCATGGCCAGGTGCGCTTTGAGGCCACGTGAAGCGATGACGGACCCCGCAGGTGCCATGGTTTGGCTGCTGTCGCAGGGTAGGTGCAGCAGGAGGTCTCGGGAGTAGACTCCAGGTGCCATGCATTGCAGGCTGGGTGCAGGAGGAGGTCACAGGACAGACCCAGCAGGTGCCATGGGTCGACTGACTGAGATGACTGCTTGATGCACCACCTGTGCCCCCAAGTGTACCAACTTGGTGCATTTTAGCCACCCAGAGCTCCGCTCATTGTTGTGAGCGTTACTCCTCTGCCTCCGTTGTTACTGGAGCAGCAGCGTCCTTCACGAGCCTCCTCCACAGAGGCCGACCTTGACACCGCTGGTACCGGTCATCAGCAAGTCCACTCAACTCCACATCCTCTTTTACCGAATCACTCCCATCTCTTCTCCAGCCCGTGTCGTGCCCGTTTAGCCTCCTCTATCCGGCCAAATGGAAGTTGCTTGCACATGCGGTGGCTGGGCATGCGGTGGCTGGGTATGTGGGCTACATGACCCAGCCAACGCAGCCTTGCCTGGCGGAGGAGCTCACTGATGGGAATGTGTCCAGATCTTTCCAGGATTTGTGAGCTCCTCACACAATCTGGTTAAACCCAGGATGGATGGTAGGCAGGCCAGCCTGAATGTTTATAACCGGCACAGATGTTGCAATTAGGGGGGTCCACCTATCACAAGCATAGAGAAGGGAGGGCATGACCGTGGCCGAGAAGATCCGGAGCTTCATGCGGAGCGACAGACCAGGCAGCTTCCACACAGCGTTAAGCAGCCCATGGAAAGATAATGCCGCTCGACTGATTCAGAGTGAGACCTCTGCTGTCAAACCGGAGCCGGTCATGAGCACACTGCCCAGGTATGGAAAACTTTCCACTCTCTCCACAACTGCTTCATCACTCTCACTCACACTCTCACTCACACTCTCACTCACACTCTCGCACACACACACACACACACTTACTCACACTCACTCACATTCTCTCACTCTCACACTCTCTCTCTCACTCACTCACACACTCTCTCACTCACACTCACTCACACACTCTCTCACTCACACTCACTCACACACTCTCTCTCTCACACTCACTCACACACTCTCTCATACAAACTCACTCACACACACTCACACACACTCACACACTCTCTCTCACTCACACACTCACTCATACTCTCACACACTCTCTCTCACTCACACTCTCTCTCACTCACACTCTCTCACTCACACTCACACACTCACTCAAACACACTCACACACACTCACTCACTCTCTCGCACACTCCCAGACACTCTCACTCACACTCTCTCACTCACTCACACACCCTCTCAATCACGGACTCTCACACACTCTCACTCACTCACATACGCTCACTCACACTCACTCACTTACACACTCACTCACGCTCTCACACTCACTCTCTCACTCACTCCCTCTCACCTCTCTGTGCGGCAGGTCCAGCTTGTTCCCCAGCAGCACGAAGGGGAAGGCGTCAAGGGCTGCGACGTCCGCGTAGTACGCGAACTCGGAGCGCCACGCGTCCAGGCTGCGGAACGAGTGCGCGTCGTCCAGGCTGAAGGTGAGCAGGCAGGCGTCCGAGCCGCGGTAGAAGGGCGTGCGCAGGCTGCGGAACCGTTCCTGCCCCGCCGTGTCCCAGATCTGCATCGTCACCGCACTGGGGGGGGGGCGGGGGAGGAGAGGGGAGACACGGGGGGTGGGGAGGGGGAGACACGGGGGGTGGGGAGGGGGAGACACGGGGGGTGGGGAGGGAGAGACACGGGGGGTGGGGAGGGGGAGACACGGGGGGTGGGGAGGGGGAGACACGGGGGGTGGGGAGGGAGAGACACGGGGGGTGGGGAGGGGGAGACACGGGGGGTGGGGAGGGGGACGGGGAGGGAGAGACACGGGGGGTGGGGAGGGGGAGACACGGGGGGTGGGGAGGGGGAGACACGGGGGGTGGGGAGGGGGAGACACGGGGGGGGGGGGGTGGGGAGACACGGGGGGTGGGGAGGGGGAGACACGGGGGGTGGGGAGGGGGAGGAACGGGGGGGTGGGGAGGGGGAGACACGGGGGGGGGAGGGGGAGACACGGGGGGGGGGGGGAGACACGGGGGGGGGGGGGGAAGGGGAGACACGGGGGGGGAGGGGGAGACACGGGGGGGGAGGAGAGACGCGGGAAGAGGAGATGTTTGACTCCCGGTGACGCTATTCTTATCACGCTATAGGTGCTCGCTAAAAGAACTTGCCCCAACAGTCTGCTTAGGCTGTACGGGGGATCTTTGTCTTTGCAAAAGATCACAGGTACACACAAACCCGAGTTCGATTTCCACTCATGGCCACCGACACAAGCGATGAAGATCTGGGCCTCCGTAAGGTCGACTCAGCCTTAAGTACCTGGTGTGGAGTGCAGTAATCATCGCCACCGGGGAGACTAAGGTGTCCCGGCGTGGTGCTGGCTGGCCACCCACCCCCTCGGTGCAACTCGCTAACAGCACTTGCCCCTACAGTCGAGTGAGCCTACAAGGGAGCTCTGTATCTGCAAGTGTGAGCGTCTGTCTGTATGTGTGGTCTGTGTGTGTGTGTGTCTAGGAGGCTGCTAGACGTCTGTACAGCCCATGGCCTTGTAATTACCAACACACTGTTCCAGCATCGGCGCATCCACACATCATGGATGCACGCCGGGTCCAAGCAAGAACATCTGCGGGACTGTATAGTGACGGAACAGCAGATGCGGGTCCATGTCCTTGACACCAGGACCAACCATGGAGATGATCTGCCCACTGACCATCGGCTTGCCATCTGTAAGATGCGCCTGCCATTCTTCCACTCCGGTGGTGGGTGTACATTGAGGACCCCATTTAAACCCACAGTGGCCTGGTTTCAGCTAGCTGATGAAAGTTGCAAGCGAGAATGTCATCATCGCTTGCGGCTGTGGTTGGCATCGTCCCCCCCTCCTGCTGCCGAGGGGAAATGGGCGAAGTTTAGGACTGTGGCTCATGCAGCTGCAATGGATGCTTTGGGTATGGGTCCCCAGAGACCCTGGCTGACAGAGGAGGTGTTGAGGCTGGCTGAGAAAAAGCGACAGGCCCACTCCCAATGTCTACAGCATCCCACGTCAGAGAATGAGGAGGCTTACCGCAGCCTTCGCTCGGAGGTTCGGAGAGCCGTGTGGCGCTGCAAGGATGGTGGTCGCGGGTTGCTGAGGAGATGGAGTCTGCCTCAGTAGCCCACGATCACAGACCACTCTTTAACTACATAAAAAAGTGACTTGCAGCGCCACACCAATCACCATCATTAGGGGAAAGAAAGGTTTGCTGAGCATTTCTGTGAGGTCTTGGGGGAGGGAAATCCCTCAGTCTGGAAAACATCATGGGGAAAAGTGGGGATGACCCTGCTGAGGCTGCAGTGCCTCAAATATTGGAAGAAATAGTCACCCCCTGTGAGTGGCTGGCTGAGGTGCCAGCTGTTGAGGAAGTACTGAGGGCGATCCGGAGTCTGAGACCAAGAAAAGCACCAGGCAGAGATGATCTCCCAAGCAAAATGCTGAGGGAGGGTGGCATTTGTGCACAGACTGCCCTATATGACATCATAACAACAGTCTGTACCACTGGACGGGTACCGCAGGATTGGAAGGATGTCCTGGTGGTCTCCCTCCTTAAGAAAGGGGAACGCACAGACTGTAACAACGACAGGGGCATCTCACTCCTCAGTGTGCCGGGAAAGGCCCTGACAAGGATTATTCAATATCGCCTTGCTAGGCACGCTGAGGAGAGGCTTGCGGAGCCCTAATGTGGTTTAAGGAAAGGGCGGTCCTGCACAGATGCCATATTTTCTGTCCGTCTGCTACAGCAGAGGTGTAGGGAATTCCAAAAAGACCTACATCTCTGCTTTATTGACCTGGTCAAGGCCTATGATACCATCAGTAGGACTGGGCTCTGGGTTGTTCTTCGTGCTTTCGGAGTCCCTGACCCTCTGCTCACGATCATTAAGGACCTTCATGATGGTGAGCGGGCCCGGGTAAAACTACGTGGCCGGGAGTCGGAGCCTTTCCCTGTACACCTTGGGGTGCGACAGGGATGTCCTCTGGCTCCCACATTATTTAACATCTATTTTGACCGCGTAGTTCGTGAAGCCTTCAATAGCTGTACCGGGGGAATTTCCATTTGGTACAGATATAATGGGAGGCTGATCGATGCCCGGGTGCGATCAAGGGATGGCTCCCTATTGGTCAACCACGTTATGTATGCCGATGATTTGGTAATAGCTGCTCATTCAGAAGAGGAGTTGGAGACGCTGCTGCTGAGACTGGAGCGTGCCACTAAGAGGTGGGGCCTTACCATCAGCCCCACCAAAACTAAGCACCTGCCTGGGTATTTTGTACCATCGGACACTCCACCCCCACAACTCCCAATTGGTGATGGGGCAGTTGTGGAGAGAGTGGAGAGTTTCCCATACCTGGGCAGTGTGCTTATGACCGGCTCCAGTTTATCAGCAGAGGTCTCACTCCGAATCAGTCGAGCGGCAATATCTTTTCATTGGTTGCGTAACGCTGTGTGGAAGCTACCTGGTCTGTCGCTCCGCACGAAGCTTCAGGTCTTCTCGGCCACGGTCATTCCCTCCCTTCTCTACGCTTGCGAAACGTGGACCCCCCTAGTGGAGCATCTTCGCCGGTTGGAAACATTTAGGCTGGCCTGCCTACGATCCATCCTGGGTTTAACCAGGCTGGATTGTGTGAGGAGCTCACAAATCCTTGAAAGATCTGGGCAAAGTCCCATCAGTGAGCTCCTCCGGCAGGCAAGGCTGCGTTGGCTCGGTCATGTAGCCCGCATGCCCAGCCACCGCATGCCTAAACAGCTTTTGTTCGGCCGGATCGAGGGGGCTAGACGGGCGCGGCACGGGCTAGAGAAGAGATGGAGTGATGTGGTACAGGAGGACGTGGAGCTGAGTGGACTTGCCGATGACTGGTACCAGCGGTGTCAAGATCGGCCTCAGTGGACGAGGCTCGTGAAGGACGCTACTGGGCAGTTGGAGGCAGTCGCCCTCCAACAACAACGGAGGGCGGAGGAGCGACGCTCACAACAACGAGCGGAGCGCCGGGTGGCTAAAGCACAGCAAGTTGGTACAGTAGGGGGCACAGGTGGTGCATCAGCCAGTCATCTCGGTCATCTCGGTCAGTCGACCCGTGGCACCTGGGTCTGTCCCGTGACCTCCTGCCAGCGGGCGTTCGACACTTCACGTGGCCTCAAGGTGCACTTGGCCTGGCACAAGCATTGTGGTGACGTCACCGCCACTTAGTGGCGAATGGCGGTTGTTGTTGTTGTTGTCTGTGTGTGTGTCTCTGTGTATGCGCCTCTGTGTGTGTGTCTGTGTGTGTCTCTATGTATGCGCCTCTGTGCGTGTGTCTGTGTGTGTGTGTGTCTGTGCGTGTGTCTGTGCGTGTGTCTGTGCGTGTGTCTGTGCGTGTGTCTGTGCGTGTGTCTGTGCGTGTGTCTGTGTGTGTGTCTGTGTATGTGTCTGTGTGTGTGTGACTCTATGTATGCGCCTCTGTGCGTGTGTCTGTGTGTGTGTCTGTGCGTGTGTCTGTGCGTGTGTCTGTGTGTGTGTCTCTGTGTATGCGCCTCTGTGTGTGTGTCTGTGTGTGTCTCTATGTATGCGCCTCTGTGCGTGTGTCTGTGTGTGTGTCTGTGTGTGTGTCTGTGCGTGTGTCTGTGCGTGTGTCTGTGCGTGTGTCTGTGTGTGTGTCTGTGTATGTGTCTGTGTGTGTGTGTCTCTATGTATGCGCCTCTGTGCGTGTGTCTGTGTGTGTGTCTGTGCGTGTGTCTGTGTGTGTGTCTGTGTGTGTGTCTCTATGTATGCGCCTCTGTGCGTGTGTCTGTGCGTGTGTCTGTGCGTGTGTGTCTGTGTGTGTGTGTGTCTGTGTGTGTCTGTGTGTGTGTGTGTCTGTGTGTGTGTGTCTCTGTGTATGCGCCTCTGTGCGTGTGATGATTGGCGAGCGCCTCCTCCCCTGTGAGTGTGGCAAGGGATCACTTTACAGAAATAAACTGAATCATTGCAATTTCTTTTCCCCCAACCATTTCGCTCACAATTATTTTTGCCACGGGGGGCAGAGGGGGCGGGGGGGGGGGTGCCATTGCCAAGAGAGGCGTGGAGGGAAATCCATTCGTCGCACAAAAGTTTTTTCAGCGTTCTCAAGAGGCGGAAATTCAGCCGAAGGGAGATCGTGCGGGGCGAGCCGTGGTGCCCTGGTTAATCCCGCAGTGATGATGATAATAGTCATACAATCAGAGCTCTCGATGCCAGCTAATGACAGGGAGGGCGGACGCGGGTAATTCAACATGGCGGATAATCCGAAGATACAACCATTTTCCGCGGATCTCTGTGCCAGAAACTAACGATGGACGGCTCGATGGACGATGTGGGTGATGATGACACTTTCCTGGCTCCCGCCCAGCAGAAGGCTCGGCCCACTGAGTGGATGATATCAGTGCCGCAGCCAATCGGACATCAATCAAACTCAGCCCCACTGTGTGACAAGATATGGCAACTACTGTGGTGTAGAGGCAATCACGTGGACGTCGGATTAACCGGAGCAACAGATTTGTTCGGTTGAAGCACCGCGTGACTTGTAATAAACATTTATAAGCAGCAACACTACCCCCCTACTAGCAGCAGGGTCAGCTACCACTGGGGTTGTCCCTACACCTGACTACACAGTGCCAACTGCCCAGTAGCAGCAGCGTTATTCACGAGCCTCCTCCACAGAGGCCGATCTTGACACCACTGCTACCATTTGTCAGCAAGTCCACTCAGCTCCACAGCCTCCTGTATCACTCCATCTCTACTCCAGCCCGTGCCGAGCCCGTTTAGCCCCCTCTATCTGGCCCAAAAAGCGGTTTAGCTCACTCACTCAACCACTTACTCACCCACCCACTCATCCATCACTCGTTCACCGACTAACCACCTCACCCGCTAACTCAACCATTCATCCACTCGCTCCTCTACTCACTCACTCACCCACCCACCCCCCACACACACTCACCCACCCACATACAGCTGAACACACCCACTAACTCAACCATTCACCCACTCGCTCCTCTACTCATCCACCCACCCCCCACGCTCACTCACTCACTCACTCACCCACATACAGCTGAACACACCCACTAACTCAACCATTCACCCACTCGCTCCTCTACTCACTCACCCACCCCCCACGCTCACTCACCCACCCACATACAGCTGAACACACCCACTAACTCAACCATCACACACTCGCTCCTCTACTCACTCACCCACCCCCACACTCACTCACTCACCCACCCACATACAGCTGAACACACCCACTAACTCAACCATTCACCCACTCGCTCCTCTACTCACTCACCCACCACCCGCACGCTCAATCACTCACCCACCCAGATACAGCTGAACACACCCACTAACTCAACCATTCACCCACTCGCTCCTCTACTCACCCACCCACCCCCACGCTCACTCACTCACCCACCCCCCTTCCCCCGCTGCTCACCGTGCGTCCACGGAGAGGTCCTTGTTGAGGAACTCGACGCCGATGGTGTGGAAGCTCTGGGCGTCGAAGGTGTTGCTCACGTAGCGGTTCATGAGCGAGCTCTTGCCCACGCCGCCGTCTCCCAGCAGGATCACCTTGAGCAGCGTCGCCTTGGGGGGTGCGCCCCCTGCCCCGGACATATCACTGCCACACGGGGGAGGGGGTGAACGGGGAGGGTGACGGGGAGGGTGACGGGGAGGGTGACGGGGAGGGCACGGGAGGAGAGATGGACAGGGACATTATGGGACTCGAAGGTGAAGGGTGGTGAAGGGAGACACGGCGAGGAGTGGGGAGACACAGGGGAGGTGGAGAGAGCTGAACTTTGCCTCCACATCCCTCACGCTGTGCACACTCAGGTCGCCCTTGCACGGGAGGCAATTGCTGTCCCGTGCGTTTCAACTCGGGGTGAGTTTAATCTCCTCGCTAAACACCGACACCCATGCCGAGAACACTCACCAGGGCCCCAACCCTCGCACCGACCCTACCAGAGACCCCAACCCTTGCAGTGACCCCACCTGTGACCCCAACCCTCGCAGTGACCCCACCCGTGACCCCAACCCTCGCAGTGACCCCACCCGTGACCCCAACCCTTGCACTGACCCTACCCGTGACCCCAACCCTCGCAGTGACCCCACCCGTGACCCCAACCCTTGCAGTGACCCCACCTGTGACCCCAACCCTCGCAGTGACCCCACCCGTGACCCCAACCCTCGCAGTGACCCCACCCGTGACCCCAACCCTTGCAGTGACCCTACCTGTGACCCCAACCCTTGCAGTGACCCTACCCGTGACCCCAACCCTTGCAGTGACCCTACCCGTGACCCCAACCCTTGCAGTGACCCTACCCATGACCCCAACCCTTGCAGTGACCCCACCTGTGACCCCAACCCTTGCAGTGACCCTACCCGTGACCCCAACCCTCGCACCAACCCTACCTGTGACCCCAACCCTCGCAGTGACCCCACCTGTGACCCCAACCCTTGCAGTGACCCTACCCGTGACCCCAACCCTCGCACCGACCCTACCTGTGACCCCAACCCTTGCAGTGACCCCACCTGTGACCCCAACCCTTGCAGTGACCCTACCCGTGACCCCAACCCTCGCACCGACCCTACCCGTGACCCCAACCCTCGCAGTGACCCCACCCGTGACCCCAACCCTCGCACCGACCCTACTCATGACCCCAACCCTCGCAGTGATCCTACCCGTGACCCCAACCCTCGCACCGACCCTACCCGTGACCCCAACCCTCGCAGTGACCCCACCCATGACCCCAACCCTCGCACCGACCCTACCCGTGACCCCAACCCTCGCACCGACCCTACCCGTGACCCCAACCCTCGCACCGACCCCACCCGTGACCCCAACCCTCGCAGTGACCCCACCCGTGACCCCAACCCTCGCACCGACCCTACCCGTGACCCTAACGATGCCTGCTGCTGCTGCTGTATATTTGGAGTTTGCGTCTCTCTCTCATCATCACCATCACGGTGGCTAGGAGATGTTAACTACCTCACCTGGTAAACAGGAGGTCGTGGGTTAAATCCCGACCCTGACGATGCCTGCTGCTGCTGCTGTATATTTGGAGTCTGCGTCTCTCTCTCCCCATGGTAACTGCATGGATTTTTCTCCGGGTCCTCAGGTTTTTCTTTCCACATTTAGAATCAACGTCACGCCTTTCAGAGTGTTTTGGCTGCCGCTATAAATTTCCACGTGACGATGATGATGACATCAGCGACTTCGTTGACCTATCATCTGTGGTGGCCAGGTCGCTTCTGAAAAAGAGTTACATACCTCAGTAGGCCTTCTTAACAGGGAAGATTGAAAATAAATACTTTAAATTGTTTAAATAGTAACGGCACTCACAGCGTGGTGACACACACACACACACCTCTACAAAGTTTCCCCCGTATAGCCTGTACTAGACTGTAGGGGCAAGTGCTGTTGGCGAGCACCTATGAAGGCCGGAACGGTACACGAGGGGGTGGGTGGCCAGCACCACGCCCGACCGCCTTCGTCTCCCGAGTGGAGATGTTTACACACTGCACCAGGTACTCCTTTGAGGCTGAGTCGACCTAGGGGAGGCCCAGGACCGTTTCAGATAATCGTCACTGGTGTTGGCCGTGAGCGGGAATCGAACCCGTGTCTCCGGGTTCATAGCGCAGCGCGCTAACCGCTACACCACCTCTACTACCACACACACACAGTGTGACACACACACACACCTCTACTACCACACACACACACCTCTACTACCACACACACACCTCTACCACCACACACACACACAGTGTGACACACACACACACAGTGTGACACACACACACACTACCACACACACACCTCTACCACCACACACACACACAGTGTGACACACACACACACAGTGTGACACACACACACACCTCTACTACCACACACACCTCTACTACCACATACACCTCTACTACCACACACACCTCTACTACCACACACACCGCTACTACCACACACACCTCTACTACCACACACACACCTCTACCACCACACACACACCTCTACTACCACACACACCTCTACTACCACACATACACCTCTACTACCACACACACACCTCTACCACCACACACACACCTCTACTACCACATACACACACTGGGAGCTGCTGCTGCTGCTGCTACAGCGGTGTGACGGTCAGCACGCTGGACACGATCTCCGGGCGCGGCAGTCTGCACTGTTGTGGGGGTGCGGGGTGACGTGGGGTGATGATGATGATATCCCAGCCAAGTCTGCCACGAGTGGAAGAGTAGGCCAAGAGGGGTGGGGCGTCTCGAGTCGGAAGAGGAAGCCGAGGGCCTGCAGGCCTCAGATTTTGCTGCTGCTGCCTGCTGCCACAACCTGCTGCCTGCTACTTGCTGATGCTACTGCTGCTGCCACTGCCTGCTGCTGCTGCCTACTGCTGTCTGCTGCTGTCTGCTGCTGCCTGCCCCTACCTGCCTGCTACTACCTGCCGCTGCTGCCTGCTGCTTGCTGATGCCACTGCTGCTGTTATTGCTGCTGCCTGCTGCTTGCTGATGCCACTGCCTGCTACCTGTCTGCTGCTGTCTACTGGCTACTGCTGCCTGCTGCTCCTGCCTGCTGGTGTCTGCTGCTGCTACTGCTGCTGCCTGCTGTTGCCATTGCCGCTGCCTGCTGCTGGCTGCTGCTTGCTGATGCCGCTGCCTGCTGCTGCTGCCATTGCTGCTGTTGCTGTCTGCTGCTGCTGCTGCTACTGCTGCTCCTACTGCTGCTGCCTGCTGCTGTCTGCTGCTGCTGCTACTGCTGCCATTGCTGCTGCTGCTACTGCTGCTACTGCTGCTGTCTGCTGCTGCTGCTGTCTGCTGCTGCTACTGCCGCTGCCTGCTGCTGCTACTGCTGCTGCTACTGCCGCTGCCTGCTGCTGCTACTGCTGCTGCTGCCACTGCTGCTGGCTTAGCTCGCGAGGCTGAACTCTGGCGCCTGCCCCGCGTGTCCCACCTGGGGAGGAGGCCCCGTCCCAGTCCCGACTCAGCGCCGACTCGGCCCCATCGCCCCGCGGGTCGCCGCGAAACTTCCAAACGTCAGAGGAGGAAGCGGAGTCGGGGCAGGAGCGGCGGAGGAGGAGCGGCGGTGGTGGAGCGGCGGTGGTGGAGACACAGACAGAGAGACACAGAGAGACACAGCAGAGAGAGACACACAGAGAGACACAGCAGAGAGATACGTCTTTACACCGCCATCACCACCACCGCCATCGTCACCCGCTCCGTCATGTGACTGAGCTGCCACCGCAAGGGCACGTGACCACGGGGGGCGGGGTGAGGGGGGGACTCGGGGTGTAGGGGGGCGGGGCTGAGAGGGATAAGGGTGGGTGGGGGCTATGGGGTGAGCGGGTCGGGCTAAGGGTGGGCGGGGCTTAGGGTGGAAGGGCGAAACTCGGGTTGTTGGGGGCGGGGCTAGGGGGGATTAGGGTGGGGCTACAGGGGTGAGGGGGCGGGGCTAGGGGGGATTAGGGGTGGGGCTAGAGGGGTGAGGGGCGGGGCTAGGGGGCGATTAAGGGTGGGGCTAGAGGGTGAGGGGCGGGGCTAGGGGGGATTAGGGTGGGGCTAGAGGGGTGAGGGGGCGGGGCTAGGGGGGATTAGGAGTGGAACGAGAGGGTGAGGGGGCGGGGCTAGGGGGGATTAGGGGTGGGGCTAGAGGGGTGAGGGGCGGGGCTAGGGGGGATTAGGGGCGGGGCTAGAGGGGTGAGTGGGCGGGGCTAGAGGGGTGAGTGGGGTGGGGTGGGGATAAAGGGGCGGGGCTAAATGTGAGGGCGGGGCTAGGGTTGTGGGGGGGGCTATAGGGGTGAGGGGGCGGGGTGAGGGGGAATACGCGGTGACGTCATCGCGTATCGGCGTTTCCTCAGAATCAGAAATCGAGTACAGTCGATCATCATCGATCATTATCATCATCGATCAGCATCGATCATTAGTATCGTCATCATCGACAATTATCATTATCATCATCGATCATTATCATCATCGATCATCATCGATTATCATTATCGATCATCACCGATTATTATCATAGATCATTATTATCACCATCGATCATCATCGACCATTATTAACATCAACGAATCATCGATCAGCATTATCATCGATCATCACCGATTATGATCATCGATATGTATTATCGTCATCCATCATAATGATCATTATGATCACTCAGCCCAGTTTCCTATCGTGAGCAGGCAAACAGAATGACACAGCGCGTGACGCCTCAGGGGCCGTCCTAAATGACGTCACGCGATTTTGGACGATTTTTGACCCCCCCCCTCGTCACACGGCGTCACAAAAAGTCAGCCCCCCCCCCTCAAATATGACGTCACAAAGCTCTGCCCCCCCCCCAAAAAAAACTAAAACATGCTTCAAATCGCTTTAAACTATTGTCATTGTAGCGCGTATTTAACGTGGCGCTGCACTCTGATGTTGTAGGAGAAAACCTTTATTAAGAAGTCTATTTAATTAAGTAGAACGTGTTGTCTGTATTTATTTAAAGTTGCGCATTTTTATGTGACGTCACATTTCTCAACCCCCCCCCCCTCGTCACACATCGTCACAAATGTCTGACCCCACCCCCCCTAGGTGCGTGACGTCATTTATGGACCCCCCCTAAAAACACCCTCGGTGTGGTGATGCAGGGACATGCCCTAGTGAGCTCTTGGTGATTTCGCAAAGTTTTCAGCTTTGGCCATGTTTGTGTTGTTGTAGTACGGAGTTAGACTCATGGCCTTAATCGAAGTTGTCTTGTGGTTGTTGTTGTTGTTTGACTTGCATCCCACTGGGGGTTCTGCACACAGCGTTGGGGTGTGCGGTGCTTTTTCTGCAAGATTTTGCCGTCTTTTCCTGGATGTTCTGTTTGCACTTCGTTATATAGTCACATAGTCACTTGAAGATGTTTCTTGTTCATGTTTTTTGTTTGTTGCGGTTGCACCCGATTCAAGAGCCCAATGGCTCACAGGGCTACACCTAATAACTGAGACTCTTATCATCACGATTTAGTGGTCATCCGACGCCACTTTCCTCCAGACTAATGGGTGATCTCTACTCGACTACACTATACTCCACTGCCGTGATTTAGATTGGACAGGGAAATCCGATCAGCTACAAAGCGCTTTGTTTATTAATCACAGATGTCCTGTAAGCGGCACGGGGTCTGGACGTTACAACGACAACCACCACTGATAATAACACAACACACAATCGCACGGACACATACATACTACAGTACAACTAGGGCGTCCCTCAGCCCACCTTAGGAGCGACCTCGCCCGCACAAATGGATTGCTCGACAGAAAGTGGCTGATATCGTCGTCATCATCGTCGTCATCATCATCGTCGTCATCATCGTCGTCGTCATAATCGTCATCATCACCAACCTCATCATCCTCATCATCATAATCGTCATCATCGTCACCCTCATCATCGTTATTGTCATCATCGTCATCATCGTCGTCATCATCATCGTCGTCATCATCATAATCGTTATCATCGTCATTCTCATCATCGTTATTTTCATCGTCGGCATCATCGTCATCATGGTCGCCATCATCGTCGTCATCTTCATCGTCATCAATGTCATCATCGTCATCCTCACCATCATCATCGTCGTCATCATTATCGTCATCATCATATTCTTCATCCTCATCACCTATAGACACCTCAACCCTATAGCCCTGACCCTATAGCCCTAACCCTGCGGTGCCCCTATAGACACCTCCACCCTCTAGCCCAAAACCCTGTAGTGCAGCTAAAGCTAACGCGACTCTATAGCTCAACCCTATCGTTCTCTCCCTGCAGTGCAGCTGTAGTGGCGGGTCAGGAACCAGAGGAGAATGTAGGTGAGGCAACACGACATGTATTTCCAGTGGCGGCTCCTGCAAAATCTCTTAGGGGGGGCAAATGTCTGGATGATTGATAAGGATAAGGTCCACCCATGCAATGGATAAATTAACAACTTAAGCATGTAAAGGCAACTTCACTTCTTTAATATTATTGAAAAATAAAGTGACTCTTACACTACATCTTGTTTGTTTCTATACTAATACAATCCACTCAAGTTTCTTTTATTAAAGATTCCACTAGGTGGCGACAAATTATATTGTTGGATGAAACGTGCTTACGTATGATGACGTAAGCACGTTAGGGCGAGCCCTCCCGGAAGCCATAGAGAATGCATTGCAGCGCCCCCCGGTCGAAAAAAAACATCTTTGAATGTAAGTCTATGGGGCCACTCGGGGCGATTCTCAGCCGGAGTGAAATCGCCCAAAAAGAGGCGGTACTCCACAGAACGTGACATGACGCTGATTGGACTATATCCAGAGGCACAGTGATGGCTAGCGTGACTCTGTGGTTGAATGACATTGGTGGTGCGTCGCCCAATCGCCCTAATGAAGAAACCGCCCCTGTGTATTTCACTGCTGCACTGAGTACAAGGTCCCTAACACGAAGGGGTAACGGCCCCTTCTACCCGATGCCCAAGGAGGCCTCCGGCCTCCACTGCCGCCTCACACTGGGACCGCGCTCGCTCTGAGCCCCCCGGCTTGGGGCCCGAGGGGAGGCCACGCTCACCCGGCCGTGCCAAGGGCTCCGGGTCATGACCGCTGGCCTCACTCGGCTCCGGCCCTTAGAAGGACAGCGGAGTTTGGGGTCCAGCAGGGTCCTATCTTCAGCTCCGTCTTCGGTCTTCGGCTTGGAGATGAGCGAGCCGGACCCTGCAGAGGTCCGGCTCATGTGCAGGTCCGTGGCTCGCTCCGCCCTGGCCACGCCTCCCTTCCAGAACATTCAGGAAAGTGACATCATCCCCCAGTCCCCCCTCCCGGGGCTTGGGGATTTGTGTCCCAGGATCCGTTTTCCCCGGGATGGGCGTTGGCCCTTTGGGCCATGATCCTTCACGCTGCGTGACCCGCCTCTGCCCCCTGTTGACGAGAAGGGGGAGCTACCCGCTAACAGCAGTGCTGATTAATACCTCGACACACCTGTAGCCCACCTCGACCCTGTCGCCCTAACCCTGTAGTGCACTTAGAGCCACCAGAGGGCATCACGCAGCCGTGTGCTGCGTGACTTGTCGTACTGTGTGCATACTGAATGTAATTTTTGTTGAAAACTAATTTGTCCACAAAAATTATTGCAAATTTGCTATATAATTAATAAAATATTGGAAATATTGCTGTCCGAGTCTCAATGTGAGTCGACGGGTATCAGTGTGAGTCCATGGATTCATGTGTGTTCTAGTGTGAGTCTATGGGTCTCTGTGTGAGTCTATGGGACTCTTTGTGAGTCTATGGTTTATGTGTGAGTCTATGGGTTTCTGTATGAGTCGATGGGTCCCTGTGTGAGTCTATGGTTTCTGTGAGTATATGGGTCTCTGTGTGAGTCTATGGGTCTCTGTGAGTTTATGGGTCTATGGGTTTCTATGTGAGTCTATGGGTTTCTGTGTGAGTCTATTGGTCTCTGTCAGTATATTGGGTCTCTGCGTGAGTCTATGGTTTCTGTGTGAGTCTATGGGTTTCTGTGTGAGTCTATGGGTCTCTGTGAGTTTATGTGTTTCTGTGAGTCTATGGGTTTCTGTGTGAGTCTATGGGTCTATGTGAGTATATGGGTCTCTGCGTGAGTCTATGGGTCTCTGTGTGAGTCTATGGGTTTATGTGCGAGTCTATAGGTTTCTGTATAAGTCGATGGGTCTCTGTGTGAGTCTATGGGTTTCTGCATGAGTCTATCAGTTTCTGTGTGAGTCTATGGGTATCTGTGGAAGTCTGTGGGTCTCTGTGTGAGTCCATGGGTCTTTGTGTGAGGTTGTGGGTCTCTGTCTGAGTCTATGGGTCTCTGTGTGAGTCTATGGGCTTCTGTGTGAGTCTATAGATTTATGTGAGTCTGGGTCTCTATGTGATTACATGGGTATCTGTGTAAGTCTGTGGGTCTCTGTGTAAGTCCATAGGTCTCTGTGTGAGGCTGTGGGTCTCTGTCTGAGTCTGTGGGTCTCTGTCTGAGTCTATGGGTCTCTGTGTGAGTCTGTGAGTCTCTGTGTGAGTCTATAGGTCTCTGTGTAAGTCTGTGGGTCTCTGTCTGAGTCTGTGGGTCTCTGTGTGAGTCTATGGGCTCTGTGTGAGTCAAGAGGTTTCTAGTCTTCACTTAACATTGATGGCAGACTCTGGCTTCATCTTGGAGTTACTATTATGAAGAAATGCCTTTTATTTTGGACAACAAAACGATAGGAGCATGCGCGGTACGGGTGTGTGCCTCCCCTAT